CCCCAAAACCCCAAAACCCCAAAACCCCAGGTCATCTGGTGGGGTTGAGAAACTAGTAATCTGGATTAATTGGTAAGTTTTATATCAATAAATATGAAATTGCCAATATGAGAAATTGGTTCTTGTCAAAATAAGTCTCAGGATTATATAGTTGACAAAGAGGCTTATGTATGCCATACACATAAAGTGGCAAAATATTCGTCTGAAGATTCTATCCACCTAGCCTCTCCAGATTCTGTAGAATTACTACTAAAAGTGATTGATCAATGCAGGGAGGAGGTGCTAGTATCTCCAAAAACCCTAGGATATCTTGCTCCTGAGAGCGAGTACAACATATTTAACACCACTATCCAAGAGGCAGTAGGCCATATCTCTTCTAGTCTCGAAGCTGCAGTTAGAACCAGACAGTTCTTAAAACTAAAGGACTTGTTACAAGAAGTGAAGGAGCTTAAAGACTTTATCATGGACGATCAATTGTTCATCAAACACTCAACAGTCAAGAGCTGGAATGATGCATTTGCTGTTGTAGAAAACTGCCGAAAAGAGTGTTTCACCTGCAATGAAAGAACTTGGAGAGTACGGAAGTCTGTTTAAAAGAACTGATGACAAGCTTGAGAAATCTAGGGATCGTATCATTGAAGAAATATCAGAACTTATAAAGAAGCTTCCCGAAGAGAAGACAATAGTCAAAGCCTCGAAAGAAGAACTTAAAGAACAGGATAAATATAACATCCAAGATTTCAAGACACAAAAAGAAAGATATAAAGAAAAGAAAGAAGGTATGATCAGCACCCAATTGCCATTAAAACAAGCCGAGTCTACATTTGAAAAAGATGCTGAGGAAACAGATTATGAAATATCTAGCTTTAGTGAAGATATCAAGAGTGAATCTGAAGACTTGAGTGAATCTAGTGAAGGAATCGAAGAACTCGAACAAAACCCGGCCTGTTCAATTCAAACTTTCTCGAATGACGAAGTAGCTGGCCTCTTAAATGAATCTGAAGTTTATGAGAACGGGAGAGATATCTACTTTCGTCAAGAGGCTTGGCTTACTCTTAAGCTCGAGAAAGCGAATCACCTGAAATTCTTAACCAAAGTTAACAAAAGAATCCCAGATTGTGAAGGCATTAGGATTGACACAGTCCCTGGAGAGAATGAAGGAATTAAGACTTTTCTTAGGGTTTATTTCCCCAAAGAGGTTGGATGGTTTTACTTCAATGATGATTCGGATTTAAGACGTTGCCTTTCCTTCTACATGAAAGCATTGGAGACTTTGAGTCCGAAGGTAGAGAAAGGATTGGGGATTTATAATTTTGAGGTCAGCCAGCACCAGATGAGAACACTCTTGGCTGCCTACAAGCACAAGAGCACATTTGGTTTATATTTCTGCAAACTAGCTCTGTCCTTGGTACCTGACTTCGGAGGGGCTCTCCAAGGAAGTCAATTGGAAGGATTATCTTTGATTGGCTGAGGAGATAGTGCTCGCGGAGATTGGAATAATAACCCGTCTCATTTTGAAAACTTAGTCAAAGGTTTGGCTAAGGAATAGGATTTCAAGAATAATTTGAAACAGATTTGGATGAGCTGGGGAGGAATGAAGAAGAGCCAGGTTGAAAAGATCCTGAAGAAACACCAGTTTGGAGAGGTTGAAATTTAAAAGTGGGTTAAGGTATAAATTAAAAGGTGTGTTTGTTTAGGAAAGGGTTTTATTATATTTGGATGTAAAGAGATGAAAATCCAGAAATAATATTTATGAGCTAAACATGAGTTCTTTGATATAAAGTAGTGTTTAAAATTCTTCATAATAGGAATTTATTAAAATCTGGTTGTTTCAATTGAAGAATAGCTCTTTGGGGTTTTGGGGTTTTGGGGTTTTGGGG